TTCTGCTTTTAGTTTATAATGTGACGTTTCAAGCTTTCAAGCTGGGTGCAGTGTGCGGGGGAACTCCGCCTTGCAACCCGCTGCGTGGGCTCCAAGCTCAGCTTTGCCGCGGACGCAGGCCACATGCATGAAGGTGCAAGGTCGTGGGCGTGGAGGAGAGAGAAGATGGCGAGGTCGGTGATGGAGATCAAGCGACGCTCCATCTTCGTGTGTAGTAAAATGAAGTGAGTGAGGAAGAAGAAAGGGAAAAAGAAATGAGGTTGACAAGTGGGCCCCACAAAGTCAGGCATTTGATCCCACCTTTGATGTCTCCAAATAAAAAAGGATAGTCTCGTAAAAGATGAGATGAGACTATTTTATTCCTAAATGTCTCATAACCAAACATAAGCTTAGATGTTCTAATGATCGTTTTACGAAATCACTCTATATAGAGGTGATGAAGGGCATAACCATCGCAGGAATGGTAAACAAATTAGTTCGCTATAGCATCGTTAGCAACTAAAATAACAGAACAAACACTACGTTTGAAAAATATAAATGGGAAAACCGGTACAAGTAAATATAAGGTATGCAAGGGAGGGAGGAGCAAAAGATGATGCGAGCCAGTTCTTGACATCTTCCTGGTCTTTGGCAAGTTGGTGACCTGTCTCTTTTTAGCCGTCGCGTTCACAAGCTTTGCAGCTCGTGCAAGCTACTGGCACGCTTCTTTCTGCGATATGTACCCTTTTTGAGCACGTTGCCGGCGTTCCATTTGAAACACTATTTGCATGTTAGGTCCAGGTCCAAACACAGCGGGAGTATTAATGCATAAGAATATTCTTAAGTATCCTACCTATATATGTTTCTTCTTTTTAAAGAAAAAGGGAGCTAAAAACCTATACATGACGCTAATAAACCGTTACAGCAGCATTACCTTTTTCTCAATGTTCATCCCGCTTTGATGCGTTAGTTTGCAACTTTTGGTTTTTTTATTCATTAACGACAGAATTCTCATTTTGATTCCTTAACTATTGTTTGAGGCCCAGTTTCATCACCGAACAATTGAAATGGTTATTTTAATTCTTCAAATTATAAATCATAAAATTAAACATATTTATGAATTTACAGACAAACATATTCACATTCCTAAATAAAAGAAAACATCGCAAAAGATGACACTTTGAGGCCCTCTTTGGAGTGGAGGATTGGCAAAGGATTTTTGGAGGATTCAAATTCCTAAGAAAGTTTTCCTACATACCCCTTTGGTTCATAGAAAAGCATAGGAACTATTCCTTAGGATTGTATTCCTTTGGCGTGATTTCACAGGAAAGCAAGCAAGAGGTCTGATCTCTTGGAAAAAAAAATCCTGGTGGTAAAGCTGCCTCCTCTGGTGTGTCATTGGCTTTCTAGGCACTTGTGTGTTTGGTGGGAAGGTGGCTTTTATGCTAGCAAGTTGTTCAAAGTCAAAATCTGAGCATCAATCCTATTGGCATTTCTCAATGTAATCACCAAGTGAGGAGGTTTTAAGTCCATCACCGGTAACGACGCTAGAAATATATGTTGGTATTTCTTAACACCATTACTAAGATTGAGTTTTATGATGTTTCGAAGGAGGCAAAAATTCTTTTTTTCTAAAAAAAGAAGAGGCAAAAAGATAGAGATGAGTATGAATAAGAAATTGGGGGTTTCCGGCCACGAAAGCAGGAAATCACGGTGAACACTGAACGAAGTTGCAATTTGCAAAACCATCATACCATCGCCTACTCGATTACCAAATTGAGGGGATGGCTAGGCATCGCTTGTGGGGACTGGGGGAAGCATCAGAGAGCACACAGTAGGCAGATCGAGGCACTGAGTGAGACAGCATAGCTGCACTTTTGTTTTCCAATTGGCTGGGCCAGGTAGGTTTCTGTGTTCGACCCAATCACCCAAACGAGACCCATCGGCCATCGACCGGCCCGCAACCGCGGAGTCTGCACCGGACTCTGGAAGGAGCACGTCGCGCCCGAACCAGCAGCTCCCAAAACAAAAAGAAAAAAACTGTGGAGGGGGAAAGCAACCCAATCCTAGGTCACGCCGCTCATCCACACGGCACCGAAATTCCCGGCCCTTCTCGCTTCCCCGCAGCCGACGACGGCGTCCACCGCGGCGGCGGCGGCGGTCCGAGAAGAATAGCCGCCGTGCAGGCGCATTATCCGTCCTCATCCAACCAGACCCAGCGGAAGGGGAGGAAAAGGCGAAGGCGGGGAGTAAGTCAACCGACCCTCCTCGCCGCCTGATCGTGCGCCCTCGCCACCGCCGATGCTGCGGCGCCGGCCATGGCGTCGGCGCTGCTCTCATACCTACAGGCCCTGTGGCCGTTCTCTGCCCTCCTGAGGGAGGAGGACGATCTACGCGCGTCGGCGCGGCTGGTCGGGCCGCTCTCTGTGCCGGAGGAGACGAAGCAGTTTGTGCTCGCGCTCAGGGAGCCCGGCGGATCGCCGCAGGACAGGCACCGGGACGGCGCCGGCGTGATCTACATCCTCGCCGCGCAGAACCTGTCGGAGCAGTCCGCCTCGGACGCCGAGCGCCTGATCAGGGAGGTGCGACCGAGGGCCGTGGTCACCCAGGTCGCGCGCCCGGCCCTCGAAGACGTCCGGATCGAGGAGGATTGCCTGGCCGGCAATGGAGGCGGGGGCGTGCCGGTACCGGCGTCGCCGTTTCAGGTGATCAAGCGGTGCGTCACGGAGAAGAGGAGCAAGGACCAGTACGTCAAGGCTGCCGCGTGCCAGGTCCTGCAGGAGATTTTTGGGGTCGGTTTCTATGGCCATCTGCTTGCTGCCAAGAGAGCTGCAGAGGAGACGGGTTCGTGTTTTCTATTGCTCGAGTCTCCGTATGAGAGGAATTGTGGTGGGGGTGGATCGGTCAGCCGGAATAGTGCTGCAGATAATAACTCAGCTCAGCCATTACAGGCTAGTTGCTCGCTAGCTCACAGCACCATGGGTGATGACTCAGGTTTGCAATTGCAGGCAAGCTGCTTGATCCCCAGGAGTGCCATGAGCTCCCATGGTAGGAATATATGCCTTATGGATGATAATGGAGGACAGCTCTTGAAGTCACTGGCACCAACTCTTAATTTCTTGATGTCCCAAGCAGTCCCTTCCAATGCTGCCACTGAGTGCAGGCCATCTAAATGCAAGCCGACTGACAGATACGAGGCTCCACCATTTGCTCAGTCTGTCTACCCTTTACTTGCTGATCTTTATCATATATTTGTTGATATTCCGTCGATTGGTAGGGCTATGGCTTCTGCTCAGGATTTGCTTACTCAAGTTCACGAGGGGGAGCCAATCAGCAGTGATATGTTATCTGATGTGTACGTATTTAGAATTGCAATAGAGGCCCTCAGGATGGGTTTAAACAATGCAGCAAGGTCCCATATTGATACCAGAGATAAACATGGTTCAAAAGATCTGGATTTTTCAGAACTCCAATCTGATGAGAAGTGCCACATTCTTCTTGTGCAAGCTCTCAGGAGTCAACTAAGAGAGTTTGGTTCTGTGGTGGCTATAGTTGACGCGAGCTGCTTAGCTGGAATAAGGAGACATTGGAACACCCCTGTTCCTTCAGAGATTACTCAATTAGCTAGCAGATGCTTCAATCACTATGGTGCTGAAAATGATGATAAAATTGAGGTACCTTCAGCAGACAGCACTGATAAAAAAAGTTGGATATCTGAGAAACCTGTGGTTGCTGTTGGTGCAGGAGGTACAGCACTCTTGGGCTTTTCATCATTGTCAAAATCTCTTCAGGCTTCGGCCTTCCTTAAGCTCGCCCCTTACAAAAGTCCAGTGGTTCTAAAGTATGGATTGATGCAGCTACAAAGACATGCTGCTATTGTATTAAGCAAGATGCTCCCTCACGGGGTTGTTACTGCTGGCTCGAAGGCTTCTGCTTTGCAGTTCACGGCTTCGGCAGAGAAGATCCGAGCGGTGGCGCACACTGTAATATCATCAGCTGAGAGAACAAGCTTATTGGCTATGCGAACATCATTCTACGAAATAATGCAGAAGAGGCATAGGCAACCTTTCAGAATAACTCCTTGGGCAACATTTGGCTGCAGCATGGTTGCATGTGCTGGCCTTGTGATGCATGGAGATGGGATCGAGTGTGCAGCCGAGGCAGCACCTTCTGTTCCAATGATTGCTTCTCTGGGCCGTGGCCTTGAGAGCTTACGGCTCACATCCCAGGAGGTGAGACAAACAAAGGGCCAAAATGTGAAAGAAGTTTTGCGAGCATTAATGAACAGCTTGAAGAAATCAGCAAAATAAAGGGCCAACACTTTCCAACTGGAGCTGTATGGATTTTTGTCTTGCGATTTGTGGGCAAGACTAAAATTATCAGGAGCTGTGAAGTGCACTTTTCTGTTTGCCAAGATAGTGAAATTATGTGACTGTGCTTGTGGGCGTGGCTAGCTTGAGCTTAGGGAGCACTTGAGTGAGATAAGTGTGTTTTTTATTGACTTTCTGTACATACATACAAGATAAAATGTTCTTATTGGTATGAAAATAATTCAATAAGATTTCAACGACCTATGGCAAATACGAGTGAAATATTTACAACTTTGCCAGAGGCGCTCAGGTGCCATGAACAGAAGTATCCCGCTGGACTCGCCATAATATCTTTTACTTCATATCCATGTACATACTAATAAATTGTACACGAACAGAAGTACATTTTTCAGTATTCTTTTTAGGTCATGTTTGCAACTACCTACTTTGTTCTTATCACCATTTTCTTAATTTGTTTATGCTTGTAAGTTGGACATATATGCATTTCGTTTGAAGTAAAAAAGAAGGTTCTAACTGGAGAATTTAGAGTAATTCTTAGCATCCTTGTGATATGTGCATGACTGATGTTACACATAAAGATATCTCATGATTATACAACAGTGAAAAACAAAACCATCCTTTGTGTTTCCTTATTTGTTACAAAAAAAAACGGTCGATGCTGCCTATGCAAATGGAAGGCAGGCTCTTCCTTCAGACAGTTGCTGCTTTGAGGTTGAGAAAATCGGAAAGTTGATTTGTGTAGAAATCTGTCTGGATCGAGTTGTCGGGGCTCTGAAGCGTCTGCAGGGAAGTCACACCTGCAAGAGAGCCGAGCTCAATGCTTATGCTGATGTTAAGCCAGCCAGTGCCTGTACCAGAGTTAGAACTGAGGAATTGATGAAACCTGAGAGAACAAGCAGAGTCTTGCAGCCTCTGTTTTGACCAAACAGGATATCAGTATCCAACCGGTCACCCACCATGCATATCTGGGATGATGTGATTCCGAACCTGTCATGTAGGTGAAGAAATGTAAGAATCTGAAAACTTGCAGTGAGCTGTATGATTTATTACACTTAAAATAGTGACACATCCTTCGTTGAACATTTCTAATACTGACCATGTTTAGACTATACTAAGTTTCTTACTTCTTTGCCAGGTGGATGGCTTCCCGACTACGAACCTGTCATGTTTAGTCCATCATGAAAGTGGATGGCTTCCCGACTACGAGCGGTTCTTGTTTAGTCGAACCAAGAATTGCTCCGACCATATTGATCCACCACCTGATGCAAGGCCAAATGTTTCATAATTGAGCAACTGGTATGTTTCTTCGTAGCATATATAGAAAGAATGCAAATAGCTTACTTACCTGCCCATTCTTGGGCATCAGTAAGATGAGTGACAACATCCCTGTTTGTTGCGATGAAAAGGCACCCTGTATTCTCACGGATGCATAGTGTCCCATACCTAAAAATGCATTGGCCGCAAGTTTACAGGACTTGTAGAACTATTAGTATCAAATCTATATCTATGAATGAATGAAGAGGAGTAACACAGTAATGCGAAGCTAAGACTTACTGAACTTTGTGGTAGTTAAAGTAGCGATCAAATCCAACCACAACTGCTCCCACCTGTAAGAAACCCAAATAGTGTGTCATTGGGTTTTCTTCTCACTATATGCCACCCCAGAACATGAAGAAGGATCATACATACATCTTTGTCATGCTCCATGTAAAAACCAGGCTTGAGCTCTATCTTCTTGCCTCCATCTGTTTACATGACGATAAAGGCCCTGTTCGCTTTGCTGAAAAGCCATGGCTGAAAGTACTGTTCGCTGATTTGTTGTGAGAGAAAAACACTGTTTGTTCGTTGAAATAGTACGGCTCATAAGACAAACGAACATGGCCAAAATCTAAGTTGCGTAAGTAAGTTTGTATTCAGACTTCACACAGTGCTATTAGTAAATACTGAATGATATCCATGATATGTTGGCTCACTAACATTGTAATGTACTAAAGTGTCAGTGAAACTCATCTTCTGTACAAGTGTTCTGTCATGAATTTCAGAGACAGTGTTACTTACGGGTCCACCGAGGTGCTGTAATCTAGCCAACTCTAGCTCCTTCAGAATCCCTTCCTCTCCGATAACATACACATGAAGCGGCCAAAAAAAGCTGTTAAACTACGTGCATTTTTCGTACATATTTTGAATGACGACAGTTACCTTCTTGTCCTTGGGGAAATCGATGGACTGCAGGTACGCAGCAGCTGCAAAAGACGAAGCGAAGATCTCTTCCTGCGCAGCAATCCGGTCTCATCGGTTAGCAGAAGAAACTGATGAACAGAAGCAGTTCATATTCATCACAAGTGCCGAACTACCCGACCTCATCGATGCTCATTCCCAGCGTCTCGAACTTCTTGCCATACTGCTTCCTCGACTTGGTGGAGTTGTTGGTCACGAACACCAGCCTCTTGCCCTGAAAAGGCATGCCAGCAGCAGCTTCAGTGAATCATCAGGAAGTGACGGCTGACGAGAGCATTGGGTTGGGTTCCCAATCATTGGGGTTTTGGGACGGACCTTTGATCTGAGCAAGTCAAGAGTCTTCAGATCACACCTGCGCGGCACACGCAGAGATGACGCGCCAATTTAAGCAGTAAGCACGGCACACACCCACTACCCAAGAAGCCGGCGGTGATCGGTGTGGTATCTGACCGTCGCAGTCGAAGATGAAGGTCTCGACGGAGTCGATGAGCGCGTCGGCGTCCTCGAGCTTGGCTGCCACCGCCGCTGCCATGATGACGGACCGCCTCGCCACGCGGTTCGTCGACGGCACCGCGACCAGCCCGCCGCGCCGCTGGCTCTTCCCCGAGAACGGGAAGGGCGTCGGCGCCTGCGACGAGGATGGTGGGGAGGAGGAGGAGGTGGTGGAGGGGAGGAAGGTCGGGGACGCACGAACCTGGAGCATCGCTGCGGCCGCTCGTGGCGCTCTGTTTTATTATCGGGTGGCGTTTGGTTGGCGTTTGTGTGATGTGCCTGTGCGTTATGATTTGGGCGCTTGCAACCGCAAGGCGCCAGCGATTTCTCATGTCTTCTTTCAATTGGTCTCCGGCCGGGCCTGTGATTTGTGGCTGGGAAGGCAGAGGGGAGGGATTGGGGTCTGGGCTCGTGTTGTGGCTGCTGTTCGAGCTAAGGACTAGGAGGCAACGAAAGGTATGTGATGTGAGGCCCAGGAGAGACAGAGAGGAGCAAAAAGAGGAAAGGATGGAGAAGTGAAATTCTGCAAGGAAGTTTTGATCAGTTTGCTAAAGAAAAATTAGGACACAAAGTTAGAACAGTTCCAAACCTCTAGTCTTAGGCTATCTTCAACAACAACATCTAAAATACAAGAACCATTCGTCCTTTGAGTAGCGCTACAGGTAAAAGATTCAATATCTATTCGGCATCTTCTCCAACAACAAGACCCAAAAGAGAATCATTTTTACAAATAAGTTTCCAGGAGAGAGGATGCTCATATTTAGGTTGTGTCTCTCAGGCAACCAAAAATAGGTTTCTGTATAGTTACTCTGTTAAAGGCTGATTTTGGATTTCTTGCTACCTATTTTAAGTTTGGATACTCGTATAGTTTCGTTGTTGGAGAGAGTCTTATAGCCTGGTTTATCTCGTGATGGCTTTTAGGCTTCCGGCGCGATTGTTGTTAGGCCCGTCTACGGTGGTGGGCTGGCGGCCCTGTTGGGCTGTTGGTGTGTCAATTCGGCGGGCGCTCAGAATCATGGCTCGCTCTAGAAGAAGTGAAGAACTGTAACTTTTTCCGCCTGGACTATGGTCACAGTTCAGGTTTACACTTGAATCCTAAAACCATTTAAGTTACCTCCTACTCTGGCAATTAATATAAAAATTTTCAATAGGCAATTAATAAGGTTTTAAACAAATAAAACGACCACTAAGTTTCTAAAAGTTTTTGAGAAATATCTTAAAAATATATTGGGACACAAGAAACCCAAATAAAATATTTACAAAAGAATATAAAAATACATCTAAAATCATCCAAAAAATAGATTTAAATTTAGGAAAACAGAAAAATTTCTAACTATTTTTTGAAAAAATCCTAAAAATGTAACCAATGACCGAATATGTTTCTAAACTTTTCACAACAAAAATATGAGATGCAACCAACATGAATGCAAGATACATTGATCCTGAATGCATTCATGCCTAATGCATTTATGATGGTTTCATCACGTGTTTTGTCATGAAAAGTTTTTAAATGCATTTAGACATTAATTTTATTTGGAAAAATTTTAGATTTTTTTGGATATTCTTCCCATTTTCTTAAATCTAAATCTAATTTCCGGAAGCTTCTAGATATATATTCATGATGTATAAATATTTTATTTGTGTTTATCGTGTCCCAATCCATCCCTAGGATTTTTCTTAAAATTTTAATAATTTATAGGCATTTTTATAATTTGAAAACTTTATCGAAGTTTTTATTGTGATTTTTCAATTATAAAATGACAAAACTAGAAACCACTTTTAACTAGGTCAAGGAGGTTATTTAAATGATTTTGAGAGTTGATATATAAGGTTTTGCATTGGAGTTCAAGGAACAAACCCGAATTACAAACAATGAGACAAAAGTAACTTTTTACACGAGATCATGACTCAGAAAGTCACGAAACTGCCAAAATCCCTGTCCTTTGTTTTAGAGAAAGGAGTAGGGATTGGGATGTGAGTCCTGTATGTACGCGCGGAGAGCCACGGATAGCTGCTACGCAGGTCATTGATGTGCAAAACATCCATTGACAACCCCGTTCACGGTGAACCATAACATAATGCATTTGGGTAACTGATGACGCAATATACTCAGGATGTCACTTAAGCTCTTATAGATTTGGCACATGAATCTTCCACCGAGAAATCACCAGTTACACACATTACAGATTGTGGCGATTGTCGTTACTGAAGACCATTTCACAAAGCCAACTTTCCGGTAAGTATCACAGGTTGAAATCCGAACAATGAAGACGATACAATCGGGCATCACCGCATCAGCGCAGCGGTGCAGCATATTACAAAGATACTAGCACAAGAGATACGTTTTGCAAATTTGACTAATCCATGGAATGGTGAACCAGAGGATACTTCTACATTCTGAACCAAACAAAACAACGTACGAAGTTTAAGGTGAATCTTGATCAACCGATGGCTCATCAGCGACGCGTGGATCCTGCTGGTAGACATACTTCTTCGCCCAGTACAGATAGTTCAAGAAGGCAAGCAATCCGACAACGTGTTGGTCCCGAAGGATCTCCCTCACGGATGAGTCGACCGCTCACCGACGTTCTCGCACACACACTATGGCTGGAGGTAGAAGAGAGAGAGAACAGAGCGTGCACACACACAACACAAGCACCAACATTGGCGGAAACCCTACAGAGGAGATGTCAAAACTGAACTCTCTCACTTTACTGAGTTGAAGTGGGAAGCTATATATACAACTCTACCTATTTAATCTTAGTACACAGACATGCCAGGCTGCCATACTGCTAAAGTGACTAGATGTGACAGTAGGGCTGACTTTGGCGCCTGCCCCTGTTGTGGCTACAGTACGGCCGAGGAGCCTTTCGGCCCCTGCCCCTGCCGCGGCTACAGTGCAGCAGCAGGGGAACCCTTTCGACGCCTGCCTCTACCGTGTGTACAGAGGGAGAGCAGTAGATTACTTTACAATTTGTCCCCTAATCCTGCTGCTAACCCTAGAATCTTTACCATGCCGATAATCTTCTTTAGCTCCGTAAACCGAAGACGGACGAGCGGCTTGGTGAGGAAGTCCGCGAGTTGCCGACTAGTTTCGACGAACTCGATGACGATCTGCCCTCCATTGACACAGTCCCTAAGGAAGTGAAACTTGACGTCGATGTGCTTGCTCCGGTCGTAGAGAACCGGATTCTTTGCGAGGGCGATGGCGGGCTGGTTGTCCACCATCAGTTCTGGTGGGTGAGCTTCCACACCGGTCAGCTCTCCCAGCAGCCAGCGCAGCCACCACAAACTTAACGCACGCCATTGTAGCGCCGCCACGTACTACTGCCTCGCCGCGTGTGGGCGCGCCACCACCTTCTGTTTCAGTGACAGCCATGAGATTGAAGCCGACTCGAGGAAGACGAGCACGCCAGAAGTGCTCCGCCGTCCTCGATGTCCCCCGCCATGTCTGCATCGCTGAACACAGTGAATTGCAGTCCACTTTCGCCGGTCTTGGGGAAGACGATCCCTTGATCCACCGCCCCCCTGACGTAGCGCAGTAGCCGCTTCACCGCGGCCCAGTAATCCTCTTGGGGATCCTCCATGAAGCGGCTGACGTAGCTCACGGCGAACACAATGTCTGGCCTCGTGTGGACTAGGTAGCGCAGATCGTCGATGATGCTCCGGTAGAGTGTTGCATCTATCTTCGCCGTGGTACTGGCCTTCGTCAGCTTCAGCCACTCCTCCATCGAGTCATGCACGGCTTGCACTCAGCCATACCGCTCCGCTCCAACAGCTTCAAGGCGTACGCGCTCTGACCGAGCGTGAGCGCCTCCTTCTTCTATCTCACCTCGATGCCGAGGTAGTAGGAGAGCGCACCGAGATCGCTCATTCGAAAACGAGCCGCCATCTCGCGCTTGAAGCTATCGATGTTCTCCGCACACACGCCGATGACGATCAAATCATCCACATAAACACCGATGACGAGCTCCTCCTTACCCCGTCGCTGCATGTAGAGTGTGTGCTTGGTTGTGCACCGCGTGAACCTAAGCCCGCCCTAGCATGGCGTCAAGCTTGACGTTCAACGCTTGCAGGGCCTGTCGTAGCCCGCAGAGCGCCTTATGCAGTCGGAGCACCCTGTGCTCCACTCCCTTGACGACAAAATCCGGAGGTTGCCTGACGAAGACCGTCTCCACCAGCTCGCCATTGAGGAAGGACGATTTTATGTCCAGGTGATAGACGCGCCAGTCCTTCGCTGTTGCCAAAGCCAACAGCAGTCGGATAGACTCCATACGCGCTACTGGCGTAAATAGTTCCTTGAAGTCGATGCCCTCGCGCTGGACAAAGCCTAGGCGACGAGGCACGCCTTGTGCTTGACAATGGCGCCGCGCTCATCCCGTTTGACCTTGTATACCCACTTCAGGTCGATCGGATGGCATCCTGGAGGTGGATCGACGAGCTCCCAAGTTTTGTTTTCCTCGATCGCCTTCATCTCCTCCAGCATCGCCCGTCGCCAATTTGCATCGCGCTCGGCCAGCGTGAGCGTGGGTGGTTCCTCTGCACTGACGAGAAGCAGCTCTGGGTCATTGAGCAGCCGACCCGCCAGGCCTGAGGACCCTATGCCGTCGACGATGTCGTCCAGCCTGCGGAACTGCACCTCCTCACTATCGTGGAAGGCATCCACGAACTCGGTGATGTCGCTTGGAGGTGAGGCAAACTCGATCGGCATCGATTGAGTCCCCTGTTTCACCAGAGTGGTCAGCACAACTGCTGGACCGCTCGGCACCACTACCAGAGTGGTCGGATCCACTGTTGGAGCGCTCGGCACCAGTCTTGGAGTGGTCGACACCATTGCAAGACCTTTCGGCTCCACTACAGGAGTGTTTGGCACTCGTCCTGGAGTGGTCGGCACCACTGCAGGACCGCTCGGCACCACTCCTGGAGTGCTCAGCACCTCTCTCGGAGTGCTCAGCACCACCCTAGGAGTGCTCGGCTCTGTTGCTGGAGTGGTCGGCACCTCCTCTCCAGCGTCTCCACCACCGTGGATGACCAAGTGCTCGACGATAAAGGTGCTAGTGAAGCCGCTAGCTTCCCCCGTGCCTGAACTGTCCCAGTCCTAGGCCGCCTTCTCAACGAACACGATGTCGCACGAGACAACCACCTTGCCTCCGTGTGGGTCGTAGAGCCGGTATGCCTTGGTACCTTCCTCGTAGCCCAGGAGCACCATCG